GCCTCTTTTGGCGAAAAATCAGTACTCACCCTGTTAACTGTTAAGCAGTCTAAGTTTCCAGCCATGACCAGGTGATCATTTTGTTTGATCGGCTTCTCCCTTGGTCCACAAACGTAACTTGAGAAAGAACAGTTATAAACTGTATTTCTTTCAATTTTCCCTTCGTTTTTGAATGAATGCTAAAAATGTATAACATTCAAATGAGCAACGACTCACAAACACATACACACACATACTCCTGTATAGTCACAGTCGTTTAATATTTAATAAAATAAGTACATACTGATATGGGCTTACATGGCTTCGGTCTACAGGGCTGAACGTATTTTTTATTGCACTGAAATAATAAACCGTCGTATAATACGCTGCGGCTTGCAAGAATATAATAATAGACAATTTTCATTTATCGTCTTGTATGGACATTCGCTTGCGGCCCTACTAGTCTATAACGTTTGTGTTTAACACTTACCATTTCTTGTTGATTGCATTTGTCCATTTTATTTGATTATTTTTAGTGGTCTTGAAGTTTTAAAATTTTAAAATTTTTAACTAAAATTATATGATCTCTAATATATCAGGTACACGAAGAATTGGCTTTGTTTAACTTTCAGTCGTATAGGTTTCTTAGCAACTACTTATTTAATGCATTTTTTCAAAGAAGTTAATTTAACTAATACATTACTTCGTAATTACAATATTAAAACAATATTAGATACGTAAACGTTTTCTTTATGAATATGAACGTGTCATCGTGGAATGCAGTAGACAACATTCTATCACAATTAAATAATTATTGATTGACATTCAAATTAATCTGATTAGTATCATTCAATTATCATAGAATATTAGTGAATTATTAAAAAAATAAAAATTTAAAAGTACCCATCTGCATTTCTATTTTTACCTCGCAGGAATATAATAGATAATAATTTGGCGAGAAGATGAAGATAAAAAGATGGTCATGCACAAGTTTATGTTCCTAATTTTGATTTCGAATATTTCTAAAAAAAATAAAACCAAAATACACTGAATAACAACTTAAAAATTATTTCATATATTGTGTTTAAAGACAGAATATATTTGGGAGGGCAAATTCTCCCACATTCCCTTAGTTGTGCCTATGACCTGCCTCAATATAATGTACATTAGCGTCGTTCTAGTGTAATAAGGTACTAAATAATTTATATTTCCCGGTCCGTCCATCGTGGGTTAAGTCGTTGATGATTTTTATGATATCTATCGTCTGCTCAATCAACAATGCATGTTAATACTGGTCGTTGCAATAATCATCATTTTCCACCTCCACGGTATAAAGACTGACAAGTTTACCGATGTGCAGTACATGGTCATATATAAAATGTTAAAAATAATTAATGACTTATTAACAAATAAATATGAATGATATTCACTATATTGTAATTCAATATTGTAAACAAGAAGTTATTTAATACAACTGTGTAAATAGATCAATTTTATTTTAAAATTATGAAGGTACTCGTATTCATTTTTTCAGTCGATTTTACCCAGTGTTCCCCTACGTTATACAGTACAGAACAATTTATTAAATTGAATGTTGAAGTCAATAAAACTGCTCCAATATAAATATTACGTTAGTAAATTAAAATTAATATTAATATTTAGAACTTATTTACGGTAAAGTTAAACGTTAAACGGTAGGTCACACACACAGAGTGCAATTATTCTAGATTATGTAATGGAACTAGACTCCATGTAACCTCTCTCTTATCAAAAATATCATTAAAGCTGAAATTTTGACCGGATGTGCTAAGGGAGAAAAAATTTTTTTACCGAAAATACCATTATACCCTAACGATTTTCCAGTTAAATTTAGAAGAGTTTAATTTCCAATAAAAGTCTGTTCTACAATGACAATAATCGAATCCCAAGGTTAGACTTTAATTTACTGTGGTGTAGATTTGGAAAATAACTGTTTTTCACATGGGCAATTGTATGTGACATCGTCTAGAGTTGGAAGACCTGACCCTTTATACCTTTATGCACCACTAAATAAAACTCAGAATGTGGTATACCAAGAAGTTTTGACTTAAGCCATATTAGAATTGAGCAACTACGTAAAGAGTCATTTGTAAATATTATTATTATTTTTTTTTTGTTTTGTTTATAATTCAGCTACTACTACAATTTAGCTCTTGATAGCATTAAATAAAATAAATTTTTTTTTTCTTTAAAACACAAAATTGTGTGTCGATTTAACAATTTCATTTTGAGAAAGCAAAAGCTACACACAGGCGAAGCCGGATAATTCAGCTAGTATATAAATAAACGTTTTATGCTTATTTAATTCTTATATTATTAATCAACAATATATAACTGAAATTGTTAATTTTGTATTAAGAATATTCTTTGTTTGTTATTTACTATAAATGAATTAAGTAGTGAAAATAATTAAAATAATCTTGGGACGGCTTCCTGAGCCCTAACACTAACTTCCAACACAATTAACATTATTATAGTTATCTATATTAGATATTATCAATAGCGTAACAAGGGTATGGTGAATCTTGCCTACGCCAGAGACACAAATTTGTGCTTTAAAATTGGTATTTATTTTTATATTTTTATTGTACCTTCAAAACGACATTTCTTTAATAAACATTTCGAAATGTTTATGATTTTGTTTATCTTGTTTATTTTTAAATTCATGTTCCTCTATAAGGAACGGTGAAACGGTACTTACGTCACACAATGAATATAAAAATATAATACTAATTTTATAATTTAGTTTTATTGTGATACTTTGAGTTGTTTGGTAACACTTAATTTTTAAAATATGGTTCCACAGATGATAAGTAAGCTCGTAAGTTTGAACTCACAAGTCTAATACGCTACTCGTTTTTAATGTAGGTACGTGTATGACGAAAAAGTCTATTCTACACAGAGATCGTTATAAAATAATTCAGAAAACATTTATTGATTCAAATACATCAAATTTTACATCTTCCTCCATTACCTTTTTTTTCAGAGGACCCTCTTGTATCATTTTGCGTTAAATCAGTGGTATGCGTACCTCCGATTCAGAAACACTGTTCTAAAAAATATTCGATCTAATTCCAATATTATTATAAAATGATTTTTTTAAATTTATATTAAAAAAAAGACTGTTTAAAATATTTCCATTCCTTTTATCTATTATATAAGCGCTATCTGAACAAGATAAAAATTATTATATAGAAAATAAAGGAGATATATTCCGCAAAAGCATATTTTAGAAAAATATGATTTTTCTTTGACTATTTAAAGAATTAATATATTTTTAGTTTTTACAGGTTTGTTTCATATTGTTACAAATGTATTATTGGATTAGATAATTAATTTGAAAAATTAAATAATTGTGCAAAAATGTAGCAACCATTTATACATAGCATATATAGTATATATCAATGATACATTGTATCATATTATAAATTATACGTAATATTTAATAATATTAAAATTAACGATCAGATGAACAATAAGAAAAAAAGAAAAAAATATTTCTATAAAATTAGATAGATGTATATAATATTTTTTTATTTTAATTTTATTATATACTGAAATTCATTAAAATGACTAGAAATTCTGGGCTAATAGAATTTTCGAAACATATTTAATAATCTTTATAATTAACTACTTTTATATATTAAAAACATTCAAATATTTATATAAAATATGCATTTAAAACTTCAAGGACAGTTGTTTTTGGAACATTTAATCGAATATATTTTCTGAATTCTATTTGAATAGAAGTTAAAATTTTTTTCTTTATGAATAATTTTATTAAACAATTATTATAGTTAATACTAGTAGGTACCGTATTTCCCATTAAACATTATAAGCTAGTGCTTAGGATGGAAATTTCACAAGGGCGGGAAATAATTTTTAGTATTACATTTTTATTATATGTAACTAGAACTAAAATAAATGCATCTTATTTTAAAATATTTTATTTTATTAAAGTCGATGGATACTAACTCTATTTACTCTATTTTATTTTTTTTTATTTTACTCTACTTTTTAACTCTATTTACCTAATTTTGAATATAATTTAAAAATCAACTGTTTAAGCATTTATAACTACCATGTTTTTTATCATTATATTTTATATCATATTTTTATAATTAAGTTTTTCATATGAATGTAGGAATGCATTTTTGTAACAGCTCTATATTTTTATTTTACATCATTAAAATTTTATGTACTAAAGGAAACAACCATAATTGATGCTTTAATATCATTTATTAGACTAGAAAAATAATTATATTAAAAGGCGGCAATTTCTTTAAAGCTTAAAGCGGCACAATGATTAAACCCGGCTTTGGTTAATGCACTCCCTTGATACTTATTTTATTTAAATTATTAGAATTTAAAATAATTTAAGTTATTACATTCATCGTTGACAATGTAAAATTATATAGATTGGTTTGAAAAATAAGAGAAATTATGAGAAGTGTAGCCATACATGGATTACCTAGCAAAAATATAAATATAGTTAGGTTATGGTATGAATTTCATTTAAAAATATTTATAACTTTACCTAACTAATGTTTATGTCTGTATATAAAGGTACACACATAAAAAATGTAGAAAACATTTAAACTACAGTATATTTTCATTTCAAACTAAAACTACTATAGTTGCCATATTACCATAGTATTGAAAAAAATTAAAAATATATACTACATGCAGTGTAGTCACTATAAACGTTTCTGTATAGCAGATATAGTGACACATTTTGTATCCACTGCTATGTTGTGTATTTATAATTCGATAAAAATAATGTTGAATGGATGAAGGATAACAAAAACTAGACGTCATTATAATTATATGAGAGTTATTTTAATCGTATGTTCATTAATATTTATTATTTGGAATATCGCGAGAGTCGTAAACAATTTATGTTTAAACTCACTCTCACGGAATGAGAAAAATATCGCATTAATATTTAATATTTATGTACAATATTATTAAAATGTTTGCAATTTTTAATTCTTCTTCTCCTTTTTTTTGGGTGACGGTTTTTTACACAATTTTTTGTAAATGGTTTTCAGTACAAAGTAAATTGTGTACAGCACACTGAAAATTACCAACAAGATAAAACTAATGACGTCGACCAAGTAGTACTTCCACCATGGCATTCCGACGGCCGCAGTCCTCAAATGTTTCGCCCCTTTGTGCCTTATCACGTATTCCGTCCAATAAACGGCGGATTCCGTTGCGTTCATCGGCCTGTCTTTGAATCTGTTCGATAGTTTTTTGGCATTTAAAGCATAACTTTCATTTCCCACTATCTTTGTTATAGCGTCGTATAAAATATCACTGTTCATCGTTTCGTATTCCAACAATATACCAGAACCCTGTTCGACTAGTTTCAATATGTTTCTAGGCTGATCGAAAAAAAACGGAACACCTATAATCGGCGTAGCAGTATACACGGCCTCCATAATGCCCAAAAGTCCACCGTGGGTCATGAACAATCGAGTTTTGGGATGTTCCAGAATGTCTCGTTGAGGCATCCATTTGCTTATGTACACGTTGTCGGGCTTGTCCGGCATATCTTCTTCATATTTCCACAGCACTCTAATGGGTAGCTTGGCAAACACCTCTTTGAACATTTGCAATACGTGTTTTGGCAGTGTAGACATACGCATCAAAGAACCAAAGGTGAAAAACATTACTCCATTGGGTGAATCTTCGATAAACTTCAATATGTCCTTGGGCAAGGG